AGAAACTGTACAAAGCCTTCTTACCCGTCTCTGACTCTCAGGCTCAAAGTTAAAATTGTGCATAATGTTTGGAATCCATCTCTTTTCTATACATACAATACCTAAAACTATGCAGTTTGCAATAAGAAAAAACACAGCTGGGGGAACGAATAAAATATGCAGCAGCAATAAAACGCGACTCTAGATGGGCTTTTTACGTGCACGAGGAAGACGTAATTTCTTCGATACTCTGGAAGGCACACCAAAATATCTGCATTATTTCGAGAGTTTCAAGTTCATATAAATCGAACTCCTTATCTTCACATACAACAAGAGATAAAACCGGGCATCATCTTTAGTTTGTGCTGCCTTTTCCTTTCTTTCTTTTCTCCCAATGCCGACGTCTCGTTGAATCTTTAACTCCCTGTAGTGTCAGTAGCAAAAGGCATTGTCGATATATTTGGAGGTGGAGTTTGTTCTCCCGGCACAAAAGAATGTGTATTGGATGTATTTGGTGTAGGGTTCTCAGCTCGTGGTGTGGTGACATTAGCCATGTCACTTTCTTCTGGAATCACATCTAAGGTACTCCAGTCGATCCCAGCTATAGAGTTTGCAGTTAAGGAATGTGGTAAAAAAATAAAATATACAAGCACAAAAAATATAAATCATTCTTCATACCAAGTCAGACTGAACGGTGTGAAGGTTTTTTTTTTAAAAATATATATTTTTTAGGAAATGGAAAAAAAAATGGGAGGAAGAAGAATAGAAAGTTAGGATACATTCAATCCTCCACATGTCGGTGATGCTTATATCCACATCCGACAACAGCCAATAGTCAGCATCACTCTGCAAACACCAAATATTAAATCTAAAGTTAGAAACTGACAATCGGGGTGCGATTGATATACTTCCGTTAAAAAGCTTCCCTTTCACTAAAGAATGGTGTTTAAAAAACATTTTAGGATGGAGAAGAATTTAAGAAGAGTGTGGATGTAAGGAAGACAACTATTACAATTGATGTCATGTAAAAATAATAAAATAATAAGTGTGAGTTGAATATATGGGGCTGATAAATAATAATTTTACAGGAAATGTGAAGTAATAATTGAAATTTATTTAAAAGAAATCGAATTTATGATTGAGTTGAGAAAAAGAGAGATGAGTTAAGCATTTGTAATGTTTCGAAAGGTTAGAGAAAAAGGACATATTCTACGTTATTTTCATAATTGCATTTTAACTTGGAACCATGCTTTCTTTCACGGCCTAAAACGTTCTCCACTTTTAAAATCAGCTTTAGAGGGGGAAATCATCGTTCTGGTTATTTTGGTGATCTTTTTTGTGAATAAACTGCCTTAAATAATAACAACGTGCGAAGCTTTCAATAACCAGGCAACAACAGAAAATAAATAAATAAACAAAATAAAGTTGAAATTATTGACTTACATCGACATCCGGTACAATTTTCATCATTCCAGTCGCAAAGTCCTGTGATGTACTAGCGTCTGGGCACATTCTTTGAGCTTCTATTCCCTGCATATCAATTTCATTTCCTCTAACATCCTCTGTAGGTAATGGTGCAGGCGCACCCTCATTGGCGTCAGATGCTTCCGGATCGTTTGCTTGGGCCTCAACACCATGAGCCTCCTCAAAGTTTTCCTCAAATTGACTGAGACATGCCACCAATAAATAATTTAAATAATCAAATAGCCCTTCAGGAAAGATACTAGGCTAGACTAGAAGCAAATAGGCTAGACTAAAAGCAAACATACCTAACAAGATATACATCTATGGGCCCCATGGTGCTCCGAAGAACTATTCTGTACCGCCTTTGTAAGTAATCCACTGCCTGGGTGGCAAATTCGGAAAAAAGTATACATTTAGAGTTTATGTTGGAAATTTGGAAAAAAGTATACATTTAGAAGAAGTACCTCATCGGGGTCTGGAACTTCTAAAGTAGTTCCATGAGGAGCTTTAATTGCTATCAGAGTTTCATTCTGATGGAAAGAACAAAACCTTAGCATTAATAAATTCGGATACAAATATATAAGCACATAATACTGTTGCTTTCCTACCAAATTTATACCTGGAAGCACGGTAAGGTTTTGATGTCTTCTTCAGTGACAAAAAGCCACCTGGCAAAGGTGTTGAAAATTAAATGGTAAGCGACCAGACAATTATGAGTTGGCCGAGAATGAAAATTTGAATGGATTCCCGGAACGGTAGGACATAGTGTGCTTACCTTTGATTGTTTTCATCTTCACTTAGGCCTCTTAGTTTGTCCTGCATTTCTCTGTAACAGAACATAAACTTAATTAGAAGGACATTTTCAATGGAGAAAAATAAGAGTAAATGATGTTGAACTAAAAGCTACAGGTTATGACCTTATGCGCTCGTCTAATCTGTGCTCCTCCAAATTCAGATTTTCTACCTCTGCCTGAAAAGGAAAAAGAGTCTGATGAGAACTTATTTAACACCTATCCGTAAATAAGGTATGCAAAAGAGCAACAATTCGGCATACTCAACGTTCTGCAATTTGAATTTTTATAGTTATTCGCGAGAATTATTATCTAAGAGGTTGTTATAGGTAATCATGTGATGCAGAATAATGAGACAACTCATGTGGTATGAACAACTAAGAAAAAGCCACGTTAAAGGATTGTGCTATAAGAAAAATGTGATAAAGTGAAATCCGAAAGGGAAACAGTGAGAGCATTGTTTTACATAATTATGTACATTTTTTATTTATGTACCTGCAAACTGGAAATACTCTCATCAGTATCCCCTGGTCTTGAGGCATCCACCCCCCTATCCAAGAAAATTACCTATCAGTAACTTGTATTTTCTTAATTTCTAGCAAGAAACAAGCAAATTTAAAATGTACAAAAGTGGTAAATAATCTAGTAAAATAAAGTGTATGAGACATGTTCTTCCATACTTCCACTGGATTCTGTTCTTCAGTTTCTTCTCTATAAGACCGATGCCTTCGAGGACATTAGTTATATCATATATACGCCTCTTTTGAACCTGTTGAGAAGGAAAGAAATTAAAATTCAAAGCTAGATATTGCTCATAACACAGCCACAACTGAAGCACTGGATACAAACATAATCACCTCCAAAGTATCTGCAGCTTTGTTCAAGTCAAGAATACCATCTTCTGCACGTTTAATCAGATCAATGAACTTCTTTGTTAAGAGACCTGAGATGGGGGAAAATGAAACTTTATAAGTTTATCCTCAGCTTCAATAAAGTTAAATTTTGAGTCAACCTATTACTAGAAATAGAGATTTATTATTTTACATAAATAAATGTAAAATAGCATGGGCATATTTCATACCCAACGAGCTATCATAACGACAGGGGCCCACAGGAGTGAGATTATTGCCACCAGGAGAACCTGCACAAACATGTTTGTTAGAAACTATTTTTCTTTTCAAGTTGAACTTGCAATCAGGGGATCTTGAAAAAGATACTTTCAGAGAGGAAAAAGCAAAGATGAACTTTATAATCATAACGGCTCACCAACATTTGACACAGGAATACGAGATAAAGCTTTGTTGGCCTTAGTTGATCTTGGGACTTTTTGGGCTTTTCCTGATGTTGCGGATGGTGGTGTCTGAAGTGGACCTTTGATGACAGCAGCACCTCCAGCTCCTGCATTTCTCTCACCGGATTCTACTTCACGATCGACTGCTCCAGTTTTCCGCTTCAATGACTAGCCGGGACAAATAAAAGAAGCCACAGACTCACAGTCAGCAAGAAATCTCAATAAGACATTGAGGTAAGGGGAAAAATGAACAAGAAATATAAATAATAGCATTATCTAAGGATAGACAAAACAAACTCATGTGAAAATGACATCAGTCCATTCATTTCTTTCGTCAAGCTAATGTGAAGATAAGGTAGATTTGGCAGTATGAATTACTAAGTGACAGGAATAGAACTTTATGAATAAACTACAAATTCCATGAAGTTAATATCGTTCATCCCATTGAATTCAATAAAACAAGTCACAATAGGGTCCTAAATCTAAAACAACCTCTAATTATCTTCAGAGGAGCTCAATGAATTACCAGTTGGATTTAGTAGCCTCCAGCTACTTCATTTTGCCCAAGTTCTTATTTAATCTTTTATCTTGACAGAGGAATCAAGTGCTAGCATACAAAACATTAAAGAGCCATAACTAGAATAATCAAAAGATGCCTTGAACACTTCCCAAGAAACATGAGTATCATATCATATGCAAAAAGAGTATATGCTCCTAAAAAGGAAAAGGAAATAAAAAAATGTTAAAGCAATCGCAGTTTTTCCAAGACAGATCATCCAGGAGATGAAAAGGCACGCTATATCCACAAATAATTACCTGAACAATGTTTAGGAGATGAGAAGCAGAGATAGCTGTCTTTAACTATGGAAACTATTGTCAAATCATTTGTCATAAGAAAGTAATTAGTCTTTTAAGACCACTTATTGAAATCTTAAAAGACTTCCCCTTAAAAGGAGAAGATATTGATTTCTACATTTTTTTGCCACGTAGGAGCAGACGACGGAAAGAAACTATATATCTTTTAAGACCACTTATTGAAATCTTAAAAGACTTCCCCTTAAAAGGAGAAGATATTGATTTCTACATTTTTTTGCCACGTAGGAGCAGACGACGGAAAGAAACTATATAAGAGACTAGTTTGGAGCACACATCCTTCATCTTTTTAATCTTTTAACCCATACTAAAAAGATATTATCATTCAATTTAATCTCTAAGATGACATTTCAAATCCCACACGATTTTTTAGCCGAGAAAGTTAAGTGAGAGGAATATAAAAATCCTTCCTCTTTATTTAGGACTATCTTTCCCAGTAAAAAAGAAGGTGACTTTCACATACAATCTCCCCCCTCGTCCATGTTAAGCCGTACTAAGCCCTTTTGACAGCATACATTCAACTAAATTCATCTTATAAGCAAAAAAAATTCATCTTATCCTGGAAAATCATTCTTTCGGAACTTAGGTAAGCAATTTAGGAATTTTAATTTTATAAATGGCAACAAACTATTAAACATTTGTCATAGGCACAGTGGAACCAAACTGACAATAGTATACTATAGGCTGTTATACATTGGAAATGCTAAGTATAAGTTATGTTGGACTCGTCAAAAAAATTTAAAAGAAAAATCTTCACTTCCTGGTCTCAGAAAGACCTTAGAACATACATATATTTCTGGATTACACTGAGCTACTCAAATCCGACTTACATTGCTATGTCTTGTAATTGTGAAACCCTAATATGCCATTTAGTGAGCGACATGTAAAATTCCAGATTACCAGATGATGATTTACTCATCATATATCGAATGCATTGATAGAATCATCTCAATGAGGGCTATACTGTTGGATACGTCCACAAAGTTACCATATTCAGAAAGATGCTAATATTCGCCTACTGGAAAAATGAGCAAACAGTACTGACAAATTGATCTGTTTACAGTAACATACAACTGAAAGTATACTGGGATGTTTCTCTATTCTGATTTGGAACTCTATTTTCTAAGTAAGTCGCACATGTAGCTACTTTGTCGTTCAATTTACATTTTTTTTTTCCTGAAGAAGATAGTGAGTGCAACTTCCATTCGAGTAGTGCCATGGTATAAGAAGGTAAATTATGACAAGGTACAAACGATAGAAAAGAAAGAAATGAGTAACTAATGTCAAGTGGCAAGTGATATGTGAATGCAGGCAAGATTCAACGATTATATGCGGCATTTGTAATACATCACTGTGACTAGATGAGGTGAGCAATCGACTTCTAAGAATTATTAGAATCTGTCATGAAATGGGAAATTGAAACCCAGTGATAAAGATGTAGACAATGCTTCAACGGTCGACAGCATCAACCACAATCACTGCCTAAATTATGTAAACAAGTTTTTTATAACATATATAATATATCATTAGTGTCGATGAATGTGAAGCATGATTTTTACTACCAAGCTGTAGATAAATCCACTTCAAAATACTTGCCTAGATAACATAAACACTGGATCTTTTACCATTCAAACAAACTAAGATACGCCAGTCAAGCCCAAAGCGGCTTAGAAGTCAAATATATTCAACTTTGCAGTCCCCACCATTTGATTAATGAAATAACCACCGCTAAAGAAACCCCCAACTCAGATTTCGACATTAACATTTTCTATCTGGCCACAATTCATGAAAGTCAGGAACATAAACAAGTAAGTAATAATGCAGATCATGCCAAAGAGAAAAAAGAAAAAATCTTGGCCCACATCTAACAGTAATTCTAAAAGCTACGTAGACATATTCACAGCAAACACAATCGGGTGTCCATAAAAAAATACTAAATTTTATGAGAAGTTAATACTCACGGGCAGCCTCTTCACAACGACAGTCTCAACAAATTCTCGATCTGGCCGGTGAGAACCAGCGGCGGCGAAGTGGTGGTAGTCGCCGCCTCCGCCTGCTCCTCCCCCACCGAACGGCGGCATCATGGAAGCAAACGGAGGCTGTTTCCTCGAACTGTTCTGCTGCTGCTGCGGCTCCTGCTCCATGATTCGATCTCTTTCTCGAAGCTCAAACACACCCAAAGACCCTGAATTTTTCTAATTAACCTGGTTTTTTGAGAAATTGATCTTCGAGGTTTATCTTACCGGAGCAAAGCAAAATTGGAAACAGATGGAAACTGGGAGATGAAGAATCTCTGCTATGGAGAGATCTGATTCAAGAAGGAATTAATCAAATTAATTATTAAAAAAAAAAAAGAGGGAAAGTTAATGGGGGAAGAAAACGAGGGAAAAAGGGGGAAGTGGAGACGAAGGGAGGGAATTTGGTTCGGATATAGATGTGGAGGGAACACCTTTATTATTATGATTATTATTATTATTAAACTTTTAATTAGTTAACTACATAAAGAGAATTTATAATTATAATAATTACATTATTCTGTTTACATTGGAAATAAAACAAAAAGGAAGGAAATATATGTTGTTTTTCAAAGGGAGGCCTAATTAGGAAAATAAAGGGAAAAGGAAAAAAGAACAATAATCAATTTTTTTTTTCAAATGACAGAAAAACAATAATCAAATTTTAGAAATACAGAACCCATTGAGGACAAAATATACTGTTCTCAACATATTCAGTTTTTCTTTTGGAATGAAAACTTAAAAACAAAATAACATATTTAAAACGATTATCTTGAGGAAATAGAATTGTGGACAAAATATTTTGGAAAAGGAAATATGAACATATTTTAGATTTTGAATTAGTACAAAATAAAAATATGATGTGATACTAAATTAATAAATATTACTGTAGTTGATACTGATTGTTAGTTATAAACACATTAGTGTGTGAATTATTACTGGAAAATGTGTGTCAATTATTGTTATTTATTTCTTAAAGTGTGTTGATGAGAATGGTGATAATGTGACAATTTAATTGTGTTGGAATATGTGAGTAATGATTGATTTTTATTTCTTAAAGAGTGTTAATATTCACCGCACCCACTTTTACTATTTACCGCACCCTCAAAATACTATTTTGCCCTTATTAAAAAATAATAATAAAAAATTCAATTTTTAATTTTTTTTTTTTTAAATTTGGCCAAAAAATATATTACCTTATAAATGTGGCCAATCTTATATGAATGTTATAAACTTATAACACAAAATTCGAAAAAAAAAATCATAAAATTCGAAAAAAATTAAAAAAAAAAAAAAA